ACGTAAATCTTTCTTTTTTATATGCAATATATTTTTGATAATTTTAGAAAATCTGTCTACTCATTTTTAAAGATTTATATACCAAAATATTCTAGAATATGTCTATTTTTTAAAAAAATACCGTGCAACAGTGTACCATTCCGTAAAATTTATAATTATTTCAATTTTCATAGTGTCCCCTAACACAGAATATAACCAACAACAAATGCCTGTAACAGAGTTCAATGCATTCGTGAATATGCTGCAAAAGTTGTTTTTGTTAATATCTTTATTGTTTGCTACTCGATTTTGATAATTCTTACATCAATTCATATTAGAAAAATATAAACAATTTAAAAAAATACCGTGCAACATTGTACTACTTTTTATTTTTGTTTTTAATATATATTGAAAAATGTTCGATATGGCGGTATATGTTAGCAGTTTACAGACGAAAATCTTTGTTTTTTATATGCAATATATTTTTGAATTTAGAAAATCTGTCTACTCATTTTTAAAGATTTATATACCAAAATATTCTAGAATATGTCTATTTTTTAAAAAAATACCGTGCAACAGTGTACCATTCCGTAAAATTTATAATTATTTAAATTTTGATAGTGTCCCCTAACACAGAATATAACCAACAACAAATGCCTATAACAGAGTTCAATGCATTTGTGAATATGCTGCAAAAGTTGTTTTTGTTAATATCTTTATTGTTTGCTACTCGATTTTGATAATTCTTACATCAATTCATATTAGAAAAATATAAACAATTTAAAAAAATACCGTGCAACATTGTACTACTTTTTATTATTTTTTTTTAATATATATTGAAAAATGTTCGTTATGGCGGTATATGTTAGCAGTTTACAGACGAAAATCTTTCTTTTTTATATGCAATATATATTTGAATTTAATTTAAATATTGAATTTAAAATATTATTATTATATAAATTAAATTTTATAATCATCCCCTTACCACAGAATACAACCACCTATAAATACTTTTAACAGAGTTCATTAATAAACTTTACAGTGGTGGTGAATTTTTGGCCTTGTACAGGTTTTCACCTTAATATGTTATTAGAATGGTGTTAGTTAACATACATTTTTTTCGTAAAAAATCCACTTTTTTAAACATATATAATTAAAAAACGTTCTACTCGATTTTTGTGAAATTAGTTTTGTTTGAAAGAGTGATCAATTTAGTTTTAGGAACTTTAAGCGTGCAGGTTGTACCTCCTTCGAAATTTAAATAAAATGCACTTATATCGGAACATGTGCAAAATTTATGCTTATTTTAATAATATTTTGATGTTTTAGTTGAGATATTGAAATGATTCTTATTTATCCAGTTTTGTGAAAGTATTTTTTATACTTTTGCGTTTTACATTTTTTAAAAAGCTTGAAATTTGACGAGTTAAGAAGTTTGACTTTGACATCAAATTTCTCAAAATTGGTCTACTCGATTTTTATGATTTTTTTTGCTGTTGATAGCCTGATTAATTCTCTATTAGATGTATTTCCGTGCAACATTGTACCTGTTCTAGATTTTTCTAAAAATAAATTTTTTCAAAAAAAGTCGATTTTGGTCAATTTTTATTTTCCCTATAATTTGAAAAATACGCATCGTATCTCAAATTGGTAAATGCCAATCGAAAGATCTTTCAAAACTCTATAAGAATAATGCCTTTTGTTTTAGTTTAATTCCATATATTAACGAAAATATCATTTTTTAAAAATTTTTTGAAAATACAGCCCTGCATTTTCCAGCAACGTTGCTAACTTGGCACTAGCTATTTGTTTTGGCATACAAAAAGCTTCTGTATGGAGAATAATTGAAAGAACTAGTGTTAAGCTTATATCAATTGCAAAATTTCCGTTCATGATTGACAGCACACATGTTAAAATAAATGCACCTCACCATAGCAATTAGGCTTAATTCAAAAGGAAGCATGAATATAGCTTAAACTTGCAAGCAGTTTGCAATGGTTTTTTTATAAACGTGTATGTTGGAGAGCCTGTTTCCTTATGTATTGTTCTGTTTTAATCAAATAAATGTATTCAACTTAATTTATATATATTCATTACAAATTAATTGATTTTAATAAATTATCAAACAACACTTTTTCAATAATAATGAAACGTAAATAAATAAGGTAATAATTTTAATTATAGTAATAGTTAAAACATTCTTTTAAACAAAGAAATAAATAATAACGACATATTAAATAAATAAGTACATAAAATAAATAATAAATAAATAAAATCAATAATAAATAAATATAAATGTAGATTTGTTTATAATTTTACTGTACCGTTGCATCGCATTGCCAACCTCATTTGCATTAAAATACGTTCCACTTTTATCTTTTACACACATTCCACATTGAACCAGAAAGTGAACCAGATCAATTGCTGGTTCACCCCATTGTTTTTGTTTTGCATGTCAAATTGAGCGGATCATGTTTGCTGAAACGCAGCTATTGTCTTAATTCAAAGGTTATATTGCAAGATCAGTTTGCATGTAACGTACATTATTTTTTTTTTTTTTGTTTCACTGATAAACTTGAATTTTGTTTTTTTTTTGTTATTTTTATTTCACTAATAAACTTCAATTTTTTTTTGTTATTTAAAAAAAAAACATTCACATTAGTATTCATTAAATGTTATATACAATATTTTTGTAGCAATTAAATGTTATGCACAATATTTTTGGTAGCAATTAAATGTTATGCACAATATTTTTGCAGCACTAAAAAGTGGAGTATTTTAAATTATATATTTGTTTTAGGAATTTTTATTTTTCCATTTATTTTTTTTATTTAATAGTTTCATTTAATAAAACTAATCCTTTTCACTTTTATATTTTTAATGAAAAAACGCATAATGCTCTGCACCAAGATTTTGCTTGCTCGATTCTCATAAAAACTGATCAACGTTTTTTTTCCGCTTGATATTTTATATCCCCGCTAAGGTAGATAACGTTTATCCTAAACCCACTCGCTCAGATACTCTTACAACATATGAGCTTTTGCCATACTTAACATCCACACTCTTAAATACCTTAAAGTACACACTTAGCATCCACATAGCAACACAATCAAAAAAAAATATCCGTAAATTACTTTAAATTTTCAATGTTGATTTATTTTCTTCTAACATTTAATATCATCTGTTTACAATTAAAATGTAAACACAGAGAAGTTGTAAACCTAGAACTTTTTGACACTTTACCATTCCTTAAGTAGCTCATGATTATGTAAACGCAAAAATCTTATTGTTACTATATGCCTTACTAAGTACGTAGTGGAAACGTTGTATTAGGCTAATCATTTTTTAAGATGAAACGTGGATATCCGCACGTAAGGACCATAACGAAAGAAAGGCTCATCAATATATTGTTTTAATTCTTTAATTCTCTGTTCATTATCAATATAGTTATAATATATTTTATTTTTTATATATTTTTATACTAATTTTTATTATTAATATAGTTATAGTGCATATTATTTATAAGATATAAGTTATTAGTTAAATCATTGTACGTTATTTTCTATATGCAACAACTGCTACATTCATGTTATGAACAATATAACAAACATTATGCATTAAATTATTCAAATTTTCTGCATTATATATAATGAATACTTAAATTTTCAAATAATTAATTTGAAAACATAGACATATGCTTATACACGATAAGACTTGGTGCGTTTCGTATACACATATTTCCTTCTATACCAGTATTAAGTGCGATGCGGTAGTTTTGCTTACACGTGTGCGCTTGCTATAAGATTATCGATACCTGAAACAAATTGGCGGCATAACAATACAGTCAATTGAACGGCTGTGATATCGTTGAGATTGAAATGGAAGGTTTGTTATTTAAATTTGAAAAAATGTAATAAAAATAATACATTTTCATTGAAGCAATGCCGGAAGATATGTGGACTTCTTACAAAAACTTAAACAAAATAGTGAATCAGGCTCTGGCGCAACCGTCAAGTACTTCTTTGACAGATCTGGAATTATGCTTGAGGAAATATAAACAAAATTTTGCGAGTATACTTAAAAATCCGGTAACATATGCCTGACTATATTAATTATGATTTAATTTAATTTATACGTTATATAAAAATTGTAACATGTATTTTTTATACATCCTTCACATATACTTTCATATGTTAGACAAGAAATGAACGAAATCGTGCTGTATTATTAGCTGGTTTAAAGGAAGGTTTTGTAACAGTTAAGTCGAACAATCGAATTATGCTTTCCAAGGATCTTGTCGATGAAACTCTAATAATATCTGATATGTATGATTTAAACGAGTTTATTGCATTACAACTTCTATGCACCGCTCAACGCCAATTAATCAAACATCCAGGTTTATCTCGGGGTCTAGTAGCCATTCTATTGTATTACGATGGAAGAAAAGCTATTGCAAGTACATTACGTGATTTGTTTCAAGTAACGAGTGGTTTTTCGTGGGAAACTGATGTTCAAAAAGAGGTATGCTATAATTTAGTTTTTAATTTTAATTCTTTAATAAAATATTATTTAGGTTACGTCATTAATAACTTCGTTTACACAATCGCTTGTTAAAGACACAAATATTCTTTGGAAAATATTAGACAGTATTATCGGATTGGACATTTCGAAAGAGGTAACTTAATTATTAAGATAACTTACATTTTCCAATGGAAAATAATTTAAGTATACAAGTAGATCAGTTATAATTAATACATGTTTTCCTAAAAAAAACTATCAATTTAAATAAAATATTAATTAAATACAGAATAATTTTATCCAATCCATTATATTGGACTTTCACGTTAATCGCTTATAAAAATTTTTTATTTGGTTTAATTAAAATTTAATATTAATGAAAGAAAAAGAATTTTTAGTTTAATTAAAAAAAAAGGAAAAAAGCGACAGAAATGTTTGCAATAATAATTTTCTTCAAAACCAAAACTGATTATAGCTTATATCACAGACAAATAATATACAGATTGCGAATGCAGAACAAAAAAATTGACCCCTTTGATTTCATGGTAGCCAGCTCGAGTAGCCAGCTAAAAGCACAATCAGCTTTGAATTGTAGAACACTTAAGACAAACCAAAGCTGCGTATAACACAATGATCTTAAGTGTTCAAAACACACGAAAGAGCTGTTGAATTTGCATATGAGAAGGTGTGTGATATAGTATAGAAATTGTTGCTATATTTTTTATTCATATTGCTAGTTTGGGTGCTTGTGTGATTTATATGTTGACAATTTTCTGTTTTGCGAACTTATGCTTCCATAGTTTTGCTGCATCAAAACGAAAGGGCAATCAGTGAAGTTCAATTTTTTGTTTCTATATTTACAAAATTTGGTTTCTTTTGGGTTAAGAGGAAATAGAGAGGAAAGGGCGTTCAATAGTAGTTAAACACGAAGAAGCGTTGTTTAGTGTTGAATGGATACACAAACACACAAATTCAAATAAATAGTCTTTGCTTTTTGTATAAATTTTTTCTAAAATATATGATTGACTTTGTGTGCATGCAATGCACAACTTTTTCCATTTTATTATAAATTTGATTTTTGATGAAATTTTATACTAGTCTCATATATTTTGATATGAGTTTTGCCTATTATGAGGTGAGTAAACACCGGCAGTAGCCGAACCATAGTTGTTGTTAGTGCAAATGATATTAATATGTATGGCAGTGAAGATAGTACTATGACCTGTACTAGCCATGATAACATGAAGTATGTTAATAAACACCATGTTGTTAAATATCTAGTTATGTTTTATATTTTAATGTACAATTAATTAAATACACGTTCAAGTTTTTATTATTATCAATTAAATAAATCATATACAAAAAAATTTGTTAATGAAATTTAATTTAATCACATAAAATAGATTGATAATATAAAATTTAAAATTAATAACTAAAAATTTAAGCACGCAACTTAATAATAAACTATTTAATTAATTGTACATTAAAATATAAAACTGTAAATAGATATTTAACAACATGGTGTTTATTAACATACTTTATGATATATGGCTAGTACATGTCATAGTACTGTCTTCATTGCCGTTCATATTAATACCATTTGCACTAACAACAACTATGGTTGGGCTACTACCGGTGTTCATTCACCTCATAATAGGCAAACCTCATATATTTGTATGAGACCAGTATAAAATTTCATCAAAAATCAAATTTATAATAATTTGGAAAAAGTTGTGCATTGCATTCACACAAAGTCAATCATATATTTTAGAAAAAATTTATACAAAAAACAAAGACTATTTCTTTGAATTTGTGTGTTTGTGTGTCCATTCAACACTAAACAACGCTTCTTCGTGTTTAACTACTATTGAACGCCCTTTCCTCTCTATTTCCTCTTAACCCAAAAGAAACCAGATTTTGTAAATATAGAAACAAAAAATTGCACTTCACTGATTGCCCTTTCGTCTTGATGCAGCAAAACTATGGAAGCATTAGTTCGCAAAACAGAAAATTGTCAACATATAAATCACACAAGCACCCAAACTAGCAATATGAATAGAAAATATAGCAACAATTTCTATACTATATCACACACCTTCTCATATGCAAATTCAACAGCTCTTTCGTGTGTTTCGAACACTTAAGATCATTGTGTTATACGCAGCTTTGGTTTGTCTTAAGTGTTCTACAATTCAAAGCTGATTGTGCTTTTAGCTGGCTACTCGAGCTGGCTACATGAAATCAAAGGGGTCCATTTTTTTGTTCTGCATTCGCAATCTGTGTATTATTTGTCTGTGTTTATATTTAACTTCTTTTTTAAACTTACATCAGACAGTGCTGTTAACTAAAAACAGAGCGTTTGGTCCAAATAAACAAAAAAACCAGGTGCTTGAACTATTTGAAGATACAAGACTAGCTTTAGCTACATCTCTTTATAACTGGTCTGCTCAACGAGGACTCCCATCAAACATTATTATCAAGTTAATAGACATTCTGTCCAACTATACATCACTAGAGGCATCTGGATCTATTGACGATGTAATGATGACTATGCTAATGGCATTGCTTTATTCTTATGACACAAGTGTTTTGCAACGTCGGGTTGATAATATTCTTGTGCAAAATTTGAACATTATAAATGAAATTGGTGCGGCTCAACAAATTCATAATGCGATTTATCAAGTAGAAAAAAAAAACGGTTTAAATAGCTTAACAATGCTTACTTTTGGGTTAGCATTAGCAAATTTGCGACATATTCCACAGAACTTACAGCCTTTTATTTCTAAAGTTATTGATTATGATGAACAACTTGTTGACGATGCTATTTCTAAAAATGTATTTGAATTTATGTATTATCAAATCTTAGAGGTGGGAATACTATATAAGTAAGTAAATATATAATGTAAAGTATTGTTTTTAATCCGAAATATATTCAATTTTAGAAATGAGTTTTTCTATCGTCGTATGCACAGAATATTAACTGACTTCATTGAGTATATGCATTCCAAGGTTTCAGAATTAAGAGGAAGAGCTGACGATACTGCTAGAACTGTAATCAGCTTTATGAAAGAAGGGATTGAACCACCACAAAATTTGGATAATAATTTTGAAATGTTAATGCGATGTATTGGAAAATTTTATAAAAAAAACCGAGCTGGGCTATCGCTTTGTGTTGAGTTTTGGGGAGTCGAAATGAAACCAAATTGCTTGCGGTCAACAACAAGAGCAGTTTCTTTGTTTAAATTCCTTCGATTAGCGGGTGAATTATTGCCAACAACACTATTTGTTCCATATTTAAAAATGATTGCTGGCTTAACAAGTTGCGAACGTTCTGCCAGAAATGCTTTTAATCTTCTCAAGCAGACAGGATTATCTGGGAGTATGACGTTATCATGGGAACATTTCTTTGGTTCACTGGCTCGATATTACTCGTAGGTGTACATATATATAGAACATTTTTGGTTGTGCAACTTTCACTAATGGTGTCAGTTCAATCCTATAGAATATAATTATTTTATGCATTCACTAATTGTGTCCACCGTATTTCTTCTTGTGTAACATTTTTCAATTTTTTTAAAATTTTTATTTTAACATGATGTCAAGAACTCATCAAAATTTTGTCGAATAGATATGTGACGTTGATTTTATGTAGACAATTCCAGTTTACTTTATATTTATATTTTTGCTATGCTTATTGTAGTCAGAATGTAGTAAAACAATATATATAACTTATAAGTACGTTATGAATTTCAAGTTAATTGTAAACATTAAATAAGTTTTCTTTCATTGTTGATGGATACCAACAAATTTTGTAATGATTAAGTTTTAATGCGTTGAAAATTAGTAGTTGCTTTACTAAGCGGCAATATATTTGTTTTAGTAACAACAATATGTGCTGTGATAGTGAGCAATCAAGAAAAAGTACTCTCAAATTTATAAGTGCGTCTTTTTTTTTTGTTTTTTTTTCTGTTTTTTTTTTGTTTTTTTTTTTTGTTTTTTTTTTTTTTGTTTTTTTTTTTTTTTTCTTTGTTTTTTTTTTTTTTTTTTTGTTTTTTTTTTTTTTTTTTTTTTTTTTTTTTTTTGTTTTTTTTTTTTTTTTTTTTTTTTTTTTTTTTTTTTTTTTTGTTTTTTTTTTTTTTTTTTTTTTTTTTTTTTTTTTTTTTTTTTTTTTTTTTTTTTTTTTTTTTCTGGTTTTTTTGTTTTTTTTTGTTTGGTCGGGGGGGGGGGTGGGGGGGTTGGGGGGTGTGGGGGGGGGTCTTTTTTTTTTTTTTTATTTTTTTTTTTTCTGTTTTTTTTTTGTTTTTGGTTTTTTTTTTTTTTTTTTTTTTTTTTTTTTTTGTTTGTTTTTTTTTTTTTTTTTTTTTATTTGTTTTTTTTTTTTTTTTTTTTGTGTGTTTCTCCTCCTTCTTATTTTTGTTTTTTTTTTTTTGTGTTTTCTTCTTCTTATTTTGTTTTTTTTTTTTTTTTTTTTTTTTTTTTTGTGTTTTCGTGCTGTTTATTTTGGTTGTTTTTTTTTTTTTTTTCCCCCTGGGTTTTTTTTTTTTTGTTTTTTTTTTTTTTTTTTTTTTTTTTTTTTTTTTTTTTTTTTTTTTTTTTTTTTTTTTTTTTTTTTTTTTTTTTTTTTTTTTTTTTTTTTTTTTTTTTTATTTTTGTTTTGTTTTTTTTTTTTTTTTTTTTTTTTTTTTTTTTTTTTTTTCTTTTTTTTTTTTTTCATGTTTTCTTTTTCTTCTTTTGTTTTTCTTTCTCTTTTCTTCTCTCGTTCTTTCTCCTGTTCTTCTTTCTTTTTTTCTGCTTCTCTGTCTATTTTATATTTTTTTTATATATTTTATATTTTTTTTATATATTTTATATTTTTTTTATATATTTTATATTTTTTTTATATATTTTATATATATTTTTATATATTTTATATTTAATTAAAGCAAGTTTCTTTAATTTTTCTTGCTTATCCATTTTGAATTTAAACTTCTTTCTTTTGCTTTTTCAATAACAAAAAACATATGATACATCAACTTCTTAATGATAATTTATATTATCATTAAGATAAATGGTATTTTTAAAATGATCATTTAGGGCTGCTTAATGATAATTTAGTGCGCTCGTCTGTCAATGCTATTAAGTTTTTTGGTAATCATTTCTATGAAAAATGATGCAATACTGGAGCATTAATATTTGGCTACTTATACCAATAAAGGTTTGTTATTGGTGATATGTTACACCGACATAATCTATCGGTACTACATGCCATTAATTTTTGTAAACGTATTTCATGATATTTGTCACTTTAAATTTGAAGACTGCTTATTTCCAAAACCATTTAGCCACTTTTATCAATAAAGGTTTGATCTCTATGTAAGAATCGAACTTTTTCAAGCTGCTTTAAAGCTAATCTAAAAATTGGTATTTCTAGTCATACATGTTCAAGTGAAATGTATATCCTTTGAAATTCAAATATATATGAAAAATATTTATGTGGAGCCATATTTATGTGGAGTATACAGAGAATCATATAACGAATCGTCACGGCATATTTACGTTCTTTTTGGTCATAACTAAAGGCATGTTATACAGAGTCAAATCACAACTGTCAATTTTATGCTTTCACTACTATTTGTAAATATTGTACGTTGTTTTTGTTGTAGCGTGCATGAGCATACACTATGTGAGTAAATAAGTATGCTGATATTTATTGTAACTATTGCATTCTTGCAATATGAGCCCCTACCGTCCGTTTGACGATAGTGTTTGGGCTTGCGTGTGAAGACGCCAATTCAGCAAATTCTCACAGTATGCTAATGCACACTGCTCCTCCAAATATGAACTTTGTAAAAACATATTTTTAATGAATAAAGTAAGTCTTAAAAGAGAACACGGTTTTTAAATTACTACATGGCGACCGTGACATGTTTTAATAATAAATTATTATTAATAAATTAATAAATTATATTAAATTAATTGTGCACACATGATGATGACATGTTTTAATAATAATAAATTATTATTAATAAATTAATAAATTATATTAAATTAATTGTGCACACATGATGACGAGTATGTGACTTCTAATCGCTAAAGCTATATAAATAACAATTTTGTTTTGATGGAAAATGGAAAATACGGGAAATATAGTGAAATTTATTTATCGTTAAATGGCTTTGAAGTGATAAAGACAGTGACTGTTGAAGTCAAGAATACTAAGATTATTAGTGAAACTTATTTATCGTTAAATGGCTTTGAAGTGATAAAAACAGTGACTGTTGAAGTCAAGAATACTAAGATTATTAGTAAAACTTACTTATCGTTAAATGGCTTTGAAGTGATAAAAACAGTGACTGTTGAAGTCAAGAATACAAAGATAATTGTGAAAATCATGGAAAATGTGTTATTATTATAATGTGTTATTATTAGTTATAATAATAAAAGAAAATTATTAAAGAGAAATAATAAACAATTAATATAAAATAATTAAAATTTTTTATTATTAAACAATTAATAATAAACAAAAATTTAAAATGGCATTGCATACAAATTTATTCATAATTACTAAGTGAAAAAATATGTAAAAATGTTTTCTTTATATGGAGTAAAAAAAACCACTGCTGATACTGACGATACTGCCGTCGCTGTTTCAACGTCGCTGCGACCTACCTCAATCACTGCTGGCACAGTCATCAACTACAGCAAGACAACAGCTGCTGCGTACTTAATCTCAAATATAAGTGGATGCAAGCAAGTAGATTAAAAATTTAAAAATTACAAATTAAAAAAAAATTTTTATAGAAATGAAAAATTTTATTAGTTTGAAATAACCTGTAAAATCAATAATATTTTTTTATATTCTGGAAATTACTTTAAGAAAAACAAAAATCATAATAAATACAAATTTATAAAATACGAATACCAAATTAAATTAAATCATGATAGAATTGTTTAAAAATTAATAAAATTGAATAACTCTTATATTTAATTCAAAAAAAAATTTATTAAAAACTAATTTGTTATAATAAATACAACTATATACATAAGTGATTTTTTTTTAAATATAATTGAATGTATTAATTTTATTTTAATGTTAACGAAAAGTTTACTTTTTCAATAAATTCAACTGTATTTAACAAACAGTTGTTTATTAATTATATTTCATTTATATATTTATATTTGTATTCTATATATATATGTTTTTTATACATCTATTCAATTTTTATGTTTTATATTCATTCATTCATTAATATTATTTGGAAATGTGCGGCCCAAAAGCCAATTTCGATAGGCCTCAGGCCAATGTAATTAATGAACTGGAAATACAAACAGATTTAAGTGATTTAAAAACCACAAATTTCCTTTTACTTATTCTTGTTGTTATAGTGATAGGAAAGATTGTTCTCAAATTAATAGGAAAGTACAGAGCTTCCGTTAAAAGGAAGTATATAAATCGTGCAGTTTCAACAGATAACATTTAAAATGCTTAATTTCTGTTTGGTAATTTTTTTCTTTGCTGCATTTGGTTACAAATTTATTACTGGATTAGTATGTAAAACATGTAGAATATTTTTATCATAATTATGAGTTCTCAATCATCGTATAAGAAAATTTAATATTAAATTTTATATAATACGTGAATTTTATCTTCAGGCTATGTTATAGACTTATCTGTACAATTTAAAGAATTTAATATAACTTACGCAATTAAAGTGTTAAGATTTTCGTAAATTTAATTTACAATTTTAAAAACAAAATATTTGATGGAATGGCAAACAATATTGAATAAAATACGCTTCCTAAAAGAAACGTTTAACAAATCATATCAATGTATTGCAATGGATAGACCTATTAGTGCTACAACACTACACAAACACTGTACGTTATTAATACAGAGTTTAGAAAGTATTCGAGTACTTTTAAACGTACACTTTGATAGGTTCACAACCGCACACAAAGCGGAAGCGAGGAAAATCTTTGGAGACCTCCGTGAAAAATCCATCAAAGTTACCCTAAAGAAAGGCATTAATGTTGAAATACCCACAACATTAAATGAAAAAATATCTATTAATATAGAATTAAATATAGACACAGACTCTGAAAATACAACGGAACACAAAAATATAGAAATGGCGCAAGCACAAGTAGAGCTCGACAGAGCATACATAAGGGAAACCGCCATAGCAGTTCCAGAATTTGACGGGAAAAAACAACACTTGGAAAGATAACGGGACCCATACTGTATAGGGTGAAAGACGAAGAAACTATACAGGGAATAATAACAAAATTATCCCTATGCGTCAAAGGAGAGTCAATCGACGTCATAAAGGCCAAGTTGATGAATATTCAACAACGAGGCAAAACGGCTACTCAATATACTACCGAAATCAATAATCTATGTCAAGCTCTTGAGGGTGCATACATAGATAATGGCGTAGATGCGGACAATGCAGAAACATTTAGTCGGAAAGAAGCTATATCTTCGATGACTAAAAATTGTACTAATGACAGGTTGAAAACCATAATGGAAGCAGGCACATTCAACTCACTGAATGAAGCTGTATCAAAATATGTCAACTGCTGTACAGAAATGCATGGAAGACCGGACGCAATTCTATATTACTCGCGAATAAATAACAGAAACACCTACCGCGGAAATTACAACCGTCGTAGAGGCCGTGGCAATAATAGCAATCAACGAAATAGCCACAGAAATAATAATCAAGATATTCAGTCGTATGGTAATGAATATCAAAACAATAGATACCCCCGTAGAGGCAGTACATTTAATACCTCACGTGGACAAGGGCGTAATAACATACGCGTAATACAACAAAATCAACAAAATTCGGAAAACTAATTAACCCCACAAACTCATACAAACATCATAAAATCTATAATTTTAATCCAAATCTAAATCTCATAATACAAATTTATAACAATGATGCAAATAAGTCAATAACTCTTCTATTAGACACTGGTGCTGACATTTCAGTAATAAAACAGTCTCACACTATTTACAATAATGTAAATACAGAAACTGTTACAATTCTAAGTGGTATTGGCCAGGGAACAATACACACTATAGGATCAACTAATCTTGACCTTAGGATTGATAACTTTCTACTAAATCACAAATTTCATGTGGTTCATGAAAGTTTCCCAATTCCTTGTGATGGGATACTAGGATTAGATTTTATAAAACAATATAATTGTATATTAGATTTCAAACACAATCAAAATTCACTTACATTAAGACCCGATAATTTTTTTACTGATATATCGATACCTATTGAACATTCCACCTTTAATAATACAAATGATACAATTCTTTTACCCGCAAGATCAGAAACAATTAAATGTATTAAACTTAATTGCTCTGAAAATGAAGTTCTAGTACACAGTCAAGAACCAATGCCCGGTATTTACATTGCAAACGCAATTGTTACTTCTAATAATGCATTTATACGCATCATAAATAGTACTAATAAAGATACAAGTTTAAAACATAATGACATAAAGTCAGAAAGTCTATTAAATTATAACATACAAACACACAAAGAAAAAATAATAGAAGTCAAGAAGTTTTAAATAATCTAAAGAAAAACTTCCCCAAACAATTCAATTCTCAATTGTACGAGTTATGTTCCCAATATACTGATATTTTTGGACTTGAGTCTGAACCAATAACCCACAATAACTTCTACAAACAAAAATTGTTAATGGAAGATAGAAAACCAGTATACATAAAAAAGTATCGTATACCCCACTCACATAAAGAAGAAATAAATAAACAGGTGAATAAATTAATTGATGATGGCATACTAGAACCATCCATTTCACCTTATAACAGCCCTTTACTTCTAGTTCCAAAAAAATCTCTCCCAAATTCGAATAATAAAAGACGGCGTTTAGTAGTAGATTATCGCCAAGTTAATAAAAAACTAATTGCTGACACATTCCCACTCCCAAGAATCGAAGAAATTCTCGATCAACTGGGACGTGCCAAATACTTCTCATGTATTGATTTAATGTCTGGTTTTCACCAGATTGAACTTGATAAATATTCAAGAAACATAACGTCCTTTTCTTCGAGCAATGGCTCATATCGTTTTAAACGATTACCATATGGACTTAAAATAGCACCTAATTCATTCCAGCGCATGATGACACTTGCATTTTCAGGCTTAAAGCCTTCGCAAGCTTTTCTTTACATGGATGATCTTGTTGTTGTCGGATGTTCCGAAAAACACATAATTAAAAACCTTAAGGATGTATTCGAACTTTGTCGAAAATACAATCTCAAATTACATCCTGAAAAATGTAGTTTCTTTATGCATGAAGTGACTTATCTTGGACACAAATGCTCAGACAAAGGTATTTTACCTGACGAAAGCAAGTATGATATTATTAAAAATTATCCAACACCCAAAGACACTGACAGCGTTAGACGGTTCGTTGCTTTCTGTAACTACTACAGAAGGTTTGTCAAAAATTTCTCTGACTATTCGCGTCATTTAACCAAACTTTGTAAAAAGAATATTAAATTCGAATGGTCCAAGGAATGTGAAGATTCATTCCAGTATTTAAAAAATGCATTATTGCAACCAACATTACTTCAATACCCCGATTTCAGCAAATCATTTTGTATTACCACCGATGCTAGCAAGCACGCTTGTGGTGCTGTACCCAGCCAAGAGTACGATGGACAGCAACTACCAGTCGCTTTCGCATCAAAAACTTTCACTAAGGGAGAAAGTAATAAATCTACTACGGAACAAGAGTTAACAGCAATTCATTGGGCAATCAACTATTTTAGACCGTACATATACGGAACACACTTCTTAGTAAAATCAGACCATAGACCACTTTCTTATCTGTTTTCAATGAAAAATCCTAATTGCAAGCTAACAAGAATCCAACTTGATTTAGAGGAATACGATTTCACAGTGGAGTTTCTCAGGGGGAAACAAAATACAGTAGCCGATGCTTTGTCTCGGATAACTATAAATGAATTGAAAGACCAAAATCACACAAATACAGCTATACTGAAAGTTACAACGAGAGCTGAAACAAGGAAGAATAAGCAAAAAGTCTGCGCAGACACAAATTTAATAAGACCGACACATCAAAATCATGATAAGCCCAAAGTTTATGAAGTCGTTAGTAGTAACGACGTTAAAAAATGTGTAAAATTAAAATTATCATCCCACAATTGTTTCTTGAAGCATGGGAAAAGAATTTTAAAACACATATATGTTAATGATTTAATCACTAATGGAAATTTAGATCTAGGTCTGTTATTCCAAAGGCTTGATCAACAAGCCGGTGAATTAAAAATTAAACAGTTACAAATGGCACCTTGCAAAAAGATTTTTAAATCTGTATCGCTAAATTCTTTTAAAGAAATAGGCAACAAAACATTAACAAATGTTCAAATAGCGCTATTACCACAGGTAATAAAAATAAACGAAAATAATAAGTCGGCAATTGAAGCTATTCTTCACCAATATCATGATGATCCAGCAGAAGGATGTCATACTGGAATTACCAGAACATTAACTAAAATAAAACAAAGATTCTACTGGAAAAACATGACAAAAACGATTACCAAGTACGTAAAAAAATGTCTGAGTTGTCAACTGGCCAAGACAACTAGACATACGAAAATGCCTTTAACGAAAGTGCAAACGCCTATGTCTCCATTTGACACTGTGTTAGTAGATACCATTGGTCCACTCCCAAAAACGGAGAACGGCAATGAGTATGCAATCACATTAATATGTGACCTAACAAAATATTTGGTAACTATTCCAGTTCCAAATAAAAGTGCCAAGACTATAGCGAAAGCAATTTTCGAAAATTTTATCTTACAGTACGGACCCATGAAACGGTTTCTAACTGACATGGGTACAGAGTACAAAAATTCAATTATGAACGATTTATGTAAATATCTCAATATCGAGAATATTACATCAACATCCCACCATTATCAAACGCTAGGTACTGTAGAACGCAGTCACCGCACGTTTAATGAATATATAAGATCTTACATCTCTGTCAATAGAGATGATTGGGATGTTTGGATTAAATACTTCACGTATTGCTTTAACACAACACCATCGTTAGCACATGGATACTGTCCTTACGAACTCCTGTATAGACGCATTCCAAGAAAATTCTATGATTTCAATAGTGGTAATATAGATCCACTATACAATATAGATGATTATGCTAAAGAAAGCAAATACAGATTAGAAGTAGTTTATGAAAGAGCAAGAAAAATGCTCGATAAATCAAAATTAAAAAATAAAATTAGTTATGACAATAATGTACATAATTTTCAATTAGTAATAGGAGATAAAGTTTTATTAAAAAACGAAGTAGGTCATAAATTAGAAAATAAATATATAGGTCCATATTCAGTTAAAGATATGGAAATAGGTAATAATATAGTTATAGTAGATAGTAAAGGTAAAGCACAAAAAGTGCACAAAAATAGGTTAAAACGATATATTAATTAAAAAAAAAAAATAAATAATAAAATCCAAATAATATATATATATATAGTAATGAATGAATGAATGAATGAATGAATGTAGATATGTATAATGAAAATATATTTGTAATTAAATAAAAAAAAAAAAATTCTTTTATATGCAATATATAAGCAATATATTAATAATACATTAATATATACAATTATTAATAATTACATAAAATTTTGTTTAAAATTTTATTACATTATTTTTTTAAAACAGGAGGTGTAGCGTGCATAAGCATACACTATGTGAGTAAATAAGTATGCTGATATTTATTGTAACTTTATTGCATTCTTGCAATATGAGCCCCTACCGTCCGTTTGACGATAGTGTTTGGGCTGGCGTGTGAAGACGCCAATTCAGCAAATTCTCACAGTATGCTAATGCACACTGCTCCTCCAAATATGAACTTTGTAAAAACATATTTTTAATGAATAAAGTAAGTCTTAAAAGAGAACACGGTTTTTAAATTACTACATTGTATTTAAATTTAACATTTTATTTTTGTATGGTATGATGACATATTCAAAAAAAATATATGTTTACTCTTAACACGCGCAAATTTTGTTATTTATTACTAAGTACCACTGTTTTAATCAACGTGATGAGGCACATAAATTTTCGTTTTCGTGAAATCGAAATTTCTTTCATTCTTAATTTTTTAATTATTATTGAAAAAATTTATT